GCGCGGAGGGAGCTCGATCGCCCCACGGTACAGCTACATCGGCGTGATGTGCGCGTGATCATCGCGCCTTGAAACAATCGCCCAAGCAGATCCCAGCGGACTGGCGGTGTCTGGTGGTCTGCCCCGGTGTACGGGTGTGCGTGTCCTGCGTTGGCTTTCTCTCCGCCCCTCTCTCTCTCTCTCTCTCTCCCTCTTGCCCCGTCTCCTCAGGTGCCACGCCTGCAATCGCATGCTCGATACTGGGGGAGGGGGAACGGGGCCGAGCACGTAGCCTCGCTGCCGGCCGGGTCTTATTCGCCACAGGAGGCCAAGGGTGGGGAGGTGTGCTCCACGCATGGGCATCAGAGGCAGAGGAGTCCCGGGGGAGAGATGTGCAGGCGATGTCCGGGCTGGCGTGGCTTGGACATGGACGCAAGATGAGCCGGGGATGCAAGGCCAGGCGCCTGATGGCTTGAAAGAAAGGGGGATGGCGCGATGACTTGCTTTGGCAAAGGATGTGCCAGGGTGCCTGGAAATGCGCCGGTGTGCAGCTATCCACACGTGCATCTGTGTGCGGCTGTGTGCGGCTGTGTGTGTGTGTGTATCAATGCATTTGCATGTGCATACATGCATGAGTGCACATGTGTATGTGTATGTATATGTATGTATATTGGGGAAAGGGGGGGAGAAAGGGGACGTGTGTGCGCGCACACGCACATGCACACTCACACACGTGTATGCATCCACGCGTGTCTGTATGTGTGTATACGGATGCCGAGATTGAGGGGAAGAGAGGGGGGGGGGTGATTGCTGCAATGGCGGCAACATGGCAAGGGCGCGCCGCTCGCTGTGCCACAGCGCGACTGCACCCGGGCCACATGGCCCCGCCCTTACTGGGGGAACAGAAGGTCCTCATAGAGGCGGCCAAAGATCTGGAAGACGAAGACGGCCGAGACCATACGCAGACCACGGGGAATGATGCCGGCGTAGAGGCCGCGCACACCAAGCTCCTTGGTCATGAGGGAGAAGCTCTTGGCGAGAGTGGTGTAGCGAGCGGGGCGGCCTATGCAGCGGAGGGCGTGCACACAAGTCGGGCAACAAGTATCGGGGGGGGGGCGGGGGGCGTGGATGTCAGCGAGGGGGCAGAGCCGGGCCGAGGACCGGGGAAAGGAAGAGGCGCGAGGACTGAGGGAGGGAGGGAAGACGCACCCACGGCGCCGATGTCGCCCTGCATGCGGGTCTTGACCGAGTCGAAGGGCTGGGTGACGAAGGCGGCGATCTGGCCGGCGACGATGGACGCAGTCACCAGGGCGGTCAGGCGACCGGGGTCGCTGTTGCCGAGGGTGGTCTTGAGGAGCATCTCTAGGGAGTAGCGAGGGGCAGGGAGGGAGGAATGGGGACGGGGCAGTCGAGGATGGGTCAGTGGCGCAGGGGGGGAAGGGGCGAGGGGGCTGGGGCACATTTGAAGTCATGAGGCGCGTCATGTGGGAACGCGTGCATACCATTGAGGACCGGGGCGAGGCCAAGGTAGCCGCAGGTGAAAACACTCTCACGGACGGCAGTCGGGACGAGGCCCTTGTAGAAAATACGGGCACCATGCTCGCGCATGACGATCTTAGCCGTCTCAAAGAGCTGTATGTGTGCGTGTACGCACAGGGTGGCGATGGGAGTGAGTGGCAGAACCGGCAAGGGATGCTCGCTGGACGGGCAGGAGGGGGGGGGGGGGGGGGGACGTACCGCCTTGCCGGTGTTCTGCTGCTGGATCATGACCAGCTCGGCCGGGGTGCTGACAACGGCCGACGCGCCACCAGCCACCAGGGCCGCGAGCAGGCGGTCGCCGCTGCTGGCCTCGGCCTTGTTGCCGCGGAGGATGGGAGTGAGGACTGCATTGCCAGGAGCAGGGGGGAGGGGGCAGGGGGTCAATCGCATGTATGCATGTGTATGTGCATCGACGCGTGCAACCACCACACGCACAGCCATTGACACCGAACTGGACGGCGGTAATCGGGGCAATACTGGCGGAGTTGATGACAACACCGCGGTACAGGAAGTTGGGGCGCCAGTCGATCTTGGTGCTCTGCTGGACGGCGTTCTTCCAACCGACGAAGGGCTATAGTGCGGGTGTCATTGGCAGAAGGAGGGAGGCGAGTGAGCTTCATGAGCAGAGCATGCAGGCGGCGGGGTGCACGCGTGTGCACGCACCTGGTTGATCAGGACCTCAGTGGTGCCGGCGAAGGCGCCGACAATGCCGCTCTGCAGAGCGGTCAGGGTCCGACGGGGAGCAGGGGCGTTCTCGCTGGCCATGGTGCGTGTGCTGGGCTGTCCGGTGTGTGTCGCGTGTGTGTGTGTGTGTGT